ACCTCCTGGGATCAAGGGGCCACGGTTTCACATCTGGGTCTCATGGAACCAAAGGAAACCTGGGGCACTGGGGAAACTCATGGAAGCAGGGAGACCCTGGGACACTGTGGAGCCTCCCGGAATGAAGGGGCCATGGGGACACTGTAGGACCTTGTGGGGTCAAAGGATCCCTGGGCTGCTGCAGAACCTCACGGAGGTGGGAAGCTGCTGTTTGGGGGCCCCCACGACGAGTGGTTGAGGCTGCTGAAGGAGAAGCCAATTTGCAGAAGTGGGAGCCGTGGGCAATGCCACTGAGCCCCCTTGCCACGGTCAGTTACCATGGCAACCCTCATACATTCGTGTTGCTACAGTCGGTTACGATGGTGACCATCACACACTCCCATTGCCATGGTCGGTTACCATGGCAACCATCACACAGTCATTGTTGCTACAGTCAGTTACCATGGCAACCCTCATACATTCCCATTGCTATGGTCAGTTACCATGGCAACCATCTTACAGTCCCATTGCTATGCTTAGTTACCAAGGCAACCATCATACATTGTTCTTGCTATGGTCGGTTACCATGGCAGCCATCACACATTCCTGTTGCTATGGTCGGTTACCATGGCAACCACCAGACATTTATGTTGCAACAGTCGGTTACCATGGAAACTACCATACTTCCCACTGCCACTGTCACTTACCGTGGAAACCATCATACATTCCCGATGATACAGTCAGTTACCATGGCAACCATCATGAATTCCCATTGCTATAATCAGTTACCATGGCAGCCATCATACAGTCGTGTTCCTACGGTCAGTTACCATGGTAAACAGCATACATTTCCGTTTATACGGTCAGTTACCATGGCAACCATCATACTTCCCACTGGTACGATCAGTTACCATGGCAACCATCATGGACTCCCATTGCTACAGTCAGTTACCATGGTAACCATCGCACATTTCCATTGCTATGGTCGGTATCCATTTCAACCATGATACTTCCCACTGCTACAGTCAGTTACCATGGCAACCATCATACATTCCCAATACTACAGCCAGTTACCATGGTAACCATCATACAATCCCGTTCCTACGGTCAGGTACCCTGGAAACCATTATACATTCCCATTGCTATGGTCGGTTACCATGGCAACCATCAGACATTCCCATTGCTATGGTTGGTTACCATGGCAACCATCATACATTCCTGTTGCTATGGTCAGTTACCATGGCAAACAACAGACATTCTACATTCCCATTACTATGATCAGTTTCTATGGCAACCTCTTGGTTCCTCTTGGACAGAAGCAGATGCAGATGAGCCTCCCTGTTGCCCACCAACCTGCCAGCTGTGCTCTAAAGGCCTGTGTGCCAAGGGGGGTCTTCACCAAGACCCTGCACAAACCTCTGGGACTCTTTGCATCCTGTCCTGGTGCCTTTCCAGTGAATTCCAGGGTTATCAAAGCCAACTGGAATGGGCTCTTTGTCTCACTCCACAGTGTCACCCAAACCAGTCTCTCCTCTGACCCTCACCCACAAAAGTTCACCCAATTCCTTCATCCCCCAGAGCAGCTCCACAGGTCCCAGAAGCTCCTTCCCGCTGAGGACACCTCTCTCCTGCTTTTTCTCTCCTGTGTCTCCTTGGCCTTTTCTCCCAGTCCATCACAGCCCTGCAACCTGGGAACTGTCTCAGCAGGCCTGGGCTGTTATTGCCTGCAAGTGGAAGGAAGAGAGACTTGGGGCTGCAGCTCCTCCTCCTGTGCCCCACACGCAGGGCATTGGGGCCTGTCTGGCTGCAGCCCCTCAGCGGGGGCACCGGGGTCAGAACAGACTTGCAGTGGGGAAAGCTGCTCTGAAAGCCCCGAGAGCTGGGCTGTGCAGAGGCTTTGCTGACAATGGCCTTGGGGGGGACGTGCTGGGACTCAGGCCCAGGGGGAAAATCCCAGGCCTGATCCCTGAGGAGATCAGCACATGCTGCTGAAATGCTGGGGGAGAGCAGAGCCAGCAGAGGGAGGGAACAAGTGTGGACAGCCTGGGCTGATGGGATTTGGACTCGTGCCTGGCCCGGCCTTGGCTGGGCAGAGAAGGGACAGCCTTTGTGTCCCTGCAGGGCTGGGATTCACTCCCTGCCCCAAAGGCCCCCAGTGTGTCTGAGAAGCCCTGGGTGGTGCCTGTCCCACAACTGCTGGGAATGGGGACGGGCTTCCTGCACAGGCCCTGTGCTGTCCAGGGCAGCTGCTGCACTTGTGCTGCAGAGCCCTGGCACCTCCCCTGGCACTACAGGCCCCTCTTTGGCTGTTCAATCCAGGCTCAGCTGCCCTCAATTAGGTTCAGTATTGAAGGGATGTCCAGGAGACAACTGCCATTGTACTCTGAGGACATGTAGAAAATACCCTGATAAAGAACAGGGGAGAGACCTCTTTCCCTGTGCCACCTGACTCCATTTGGTCACCTGAGCACCTCTAGGGGCTGCCCTGGACAGAAGGAACAGTGACAGGTTCCCCAGTCCTACATGTGGGCACCTTCTGCCACTGAAGTTGGCCAAAGCAATGTCCCAGCAGCCTCCAAGAAGATCCCACAGCTGCTGCCCTGTCCCTAGGAACTGCTCCATTGGAGCCTGCAGTTCCCAGCAGGAATCTCGGTCACCTCTGGCCCCTCAGAAGGAACCAGGGCTTTGTGTCCCAGCAGGTCACTCCTGGCTTTGGTCTTCCTTCATTCCCATGGGAGCTGGGACAAGGAGTCACCTGCAGGGGCCTGTTTTGGGCCCACTGAGCTGGGGCAGGAGGAATCCCAGCCCATGGGGGTTGTGGAGGGAGCTGAGTGTCCTTCTGGCTCCAGGTCTGCAGAGCCACAAGGAGACACCTCTGTTGACTCAGCTGAGTCCCTTCCCTCAGTGGGGGTGAAGGAGATCCCTCCTGGGCACTGTCTGGGTTTCCTGTCTAATTATGGGACGTGAAAAGGGGCCTCTTGAACTTAACTCTGTGTCTGTTTGGAGAAATGACAGTGCTGAAAGAAGTGTCTGTGCCCAGCTGAGAGAAGGAACATCATTATTTCCTTCAGCTGTGTGCCAGCAGGTTCCCCTGGAGCCCCAGGGACAGCTGGAGGAGCCCAGAGGGGCAGAGAAAGGGCTGCCTGGGGCTGTTGCTGTGCTGCTGAGCTGGGCCGGGCTCCTGGCACACAGGGAGCTCCTGGCAACCAAGAAAAGCTTCAAAGAGACAGCTCTGCTGGTGAGCAGCTCCTCTGCACAGCCCAGCAGGGCTGAGGGCTCTGCCTGCAGCACCCAGGGCACAGGAGAGAAGGCAGAGAGATGAGAGGTAGCCTGGGCTGGGAGGTGACTGAGCTCTCACCACAGGAGAAACCTTCCCAGGATTTGAAGGAAGAATTCTCTGGCTGTAGGAAAGTTCAGCTTCCCTTCCTGGAGGCATCTCCTCAAGCTGGCACATCCCACAGCTTCCAGGATCTCTCAGGAGGACTCTCCCAGTTGCTGCAGTGTAGGGGAAGTGGCCATATGGCAGAGCAGGGCAGGAGCTGCAGGCAGCAAGGGCAGAGAGGAGAAGGGAGCAGGAGGTTCAAGGGATCCTGGGCTGGGAGGACAGGGCAGAGCTGCTCAGGGCAGGAACCTTGCCAGCCCTTTGCCACGGTCAGGCTGTGGCTGCAGAGCAGTGCAGGGGAGTTGCTGCAAGTGCCTCTGCCAGCTGCCAAATGGCAGCAGTGGCAGGAGCTGTCAGGATGGCTCTGCTGGATTTGCTGGGGTGCAGCAGGAGAAGCTGCTGCAGAGCAGGACTTGCTGCTGCCCCACCAGAGGCCCAGGGCCAGAAGGTTCCCTGTGCCAGGGCTGGCTGTGGGGTGGGAAGGTGGGGGTGCAGCCAGGGGTGCCCAGGGCTGTGGGGCAGAGCAGGGTCCTGCCCCCAGGGCTCTGTGTGCTGGGGCAGGGACTCTGCTGCCTGCCAGGGGCAGCTCTCAGCCCGGCCAAGGAGCTGCCACGGGGCTGGGGGAGAAGGGCTGTGGGGAAGGAACAACTCCTGGGAGGGCAGAGCAGGGCAGAGTCCTTCTGATCTCCACAGTGGGCTGCAGGGATGAGGGCTGGTCACAGCTCCAGATCAAAGCAGGAAATTTCCCAGAAGGTATTTGCAAGAGGCACAGACAGACAGGGGGTACCTTAAAGAGAATGAACCAGTTCTTTCAGTGTTATACTCTGGGTTGTCTGGGTGCTGACTGAGACAGAGAAATTAATCTCAGAGCACAGGAGGAGACACTGCAACTTGAACTCTGTTAGATTAGAGGGGATGGAACCTGAGAGTATCAGACATCAAAACTGTCTTATAGATGCATCAGTGTCACTTTTTCAACCTCCCCAGGGTTGCTCTGACATTGCCATCAGAGCCTGTCCAGCCAGAGATGCCCCTGGGCAGTGCCCTGTGCTGCTGGGAGGGCTCTGCAGGGCAGAGCTGAGCCCCCAGGGCTGGGCTGGGCTCTGGCAGCACTGGCAGGGCCCAGCCCTGTGCCCGGGGAAGCAGCTGCTGGCAGGGACAGCTCCAGGCAGCAGAGCCCTGGGCAGGAAGTGGGGGACAAGTGCCCCCAAGGCCTTGGGGCAGCTCTGGGGGCCCTTCCCTGCAGCTCTACTGGGCACTGTGTGCTGGGGCATAGAAATGAGGATTCCTGCAGTGGAAAAGAACCTTCCCCAGATGTGATGGTAAAAATAGAAAACACAGGCAAAATTATTCTAAGCTCAGACTAAGCTTCTGCTCTGCAGGCCCAGCTCTTCACAGGTGTAGTGAACTTTTGTATTGAGGGTGTGTTACATCTGACATTCCTTGTGTGCGTGAGAACTCTACCAAAAAAATTCCATGTCCCACTGCAGCAGAGCAAAACTGACTCCTTGGCAGTGCATTTGGTAACATTTGACACATTGATTTCTCTTAAAAATGCAGTTGCTTTTTCACAGAGGTCTGTCTTAACTGTTCCCTGTCTTTTCCTTTTCTGAACAGGCCCTATACTAAGAAACAACAAATGTCCAACAGCAGCTCTATGGCCCAGTTCCTCCTCCTGGCATTGGCAGACAGGCGGGAGCTGCAGCTCCTGCACTTCTGGCTCTTCCTGGCCATCTCCCTGGCTGCCCTCCTGGCCAACGGCCTCATCCTCAGCGCCGTAGCCTGTGACCACCACCTGCACACCCCCATGGGCTTCTTCCTGCTCAACCTCTCCCTCACAGACCTGGGCTGCATCTACACCACTGTCCCCAAAGCCATGCACAATTCCCTCCAGAACACCACAACCATCTCCTACACAGGATGTGCTGCACAACTCTTTTTCTTTCTGTTCTTCATGTCAACAGAGTATTTCCTCCTCACCATCATGTGCTACGACCGCTACGTTGCCATCTGCAAACCCCTGCACTACGGGACCCTCCTGGGCAGCAGAGCTTGTGCCCACATGGCAGCAGCTGCCTGGGCCACTGGCTTTCTCAATGCTCTGCTGCACACAGCCAATACATTTTCCCTGCCCCTGTGCCAGGGCAATGCCCTGGGCCAGTTCTTCTGTGAAATCCCCCCCATCCTCAAGCTCTCCTGCTCACACTCAGGCTACCTCGGGGAAATTGGGCTTCTTTTGTTTAGTGTCTGTTTAGAGTTTGGTTGTTTCATTTTCATTGTTTTCTCCTATGTGCAGATCTTCAGGGCTGTGCTGAGGATCCCCTCTCAGCAGGGACAGCACAAAGCCTTTTCCACGTGCCTCCCTCACCTGGCTGTGGTCTCCCTGTTTATCAGCACCTCATTCTTTGCCTACCTGAAGCCCTCCTCCACTTCTATCCCATCCCTGGACTTGGTGGTATCAGTTCTGTACTCGGTGGTGCCTCCAGCACTGAATCCCCTCATCTACAGCCTCAGGAACCAGGAACTCAAGCTTTCCCTGAGGAAAACAATGACTGGATTCTTTTCAGGAGAAAAAAGCTGCCTTTTTTCTTCTGTAAATCATTCCTTACATTACTTGCTACAGGTCAACCCTCTTTTCTCAGGGTTATGGAGGGGCTAGGAATGTTTTCTTTTATATTTTGACTTTTTGTGATGTAGTGCACAACAAAATTTTGTTCTGGATTCCACTTCTAATTCACTGTCTTCCTCCTGAATTTGACCCTGCCCTGTGTAAATGAGGAACATTCTCTGTATATTAAAACAAATGAAGGGACACAGTAGAAACCTGGTGTTTTTGAGATGGTTCTTCAGAGACCTTTGTAAAATGTCAAGGCCTGTGTTCAGGGGGGATGAGGAAAAGGGGACCAGAAGAGCAGCACTGCAAGGGAGCAGCAGAGCTTGATCCTTCTCAATCCAACACTCTCCTTCTGTGCCTTTGGGGAAGGTCCCTGAGTGCTCTGGCTGGTTGGTCACTGTTCTGCTTGGTGTCAGTGCTGTGACCACGGGCAGGGACAGGGCCTGGGCACTGCTGGGACAGAGCTGGGCTCAAGTACAGCAGAATCCTGCAAAGGCTGGAGTCACCCAGAGATAAAGTACCACGTGTCTGGGGTAATCCATGGGAGCACAGGGCACACAGCAGGAACAGGGAAAGGAGTCTGGGGAGTGACTCATCTTGCCCTCAGTGACTTCCACAGGTTTATCAAGAGCCTCCGAAGCCATGTCCCAGCTCTGGAACAAGGCAGGGCCCTGCTGAGCCCCCTCCATGGCCACACAGGAGGGTCTGTGGGAAGTGGTCAGTGCAGGGAGCACCATCAGCTGGCTCTGCCTCCCAGCTTGAGCAGCACAGCCCAACAGAGTCCCCCATGGCCCTGAGCCCCACAGCCCCCATGCTCTGCAGAGCAGCCTCCCCAGCTCGGGGGCTGTGGGGAGCACGGCAGGGGGTGCAGGAAGGGCTGCTCAGGCCAGCACAGACGTGTTCCCCTGGGGAAAGGCTCTGGGGGGAGATGGGATGTGCCAGGAGAAGAGCAGCACACCCTGTGTGAGCACAGGGGCCATGGGAAGAGGCTGCCCTGGCCCTGGGGAAAAGAGGGGGTGGAGCAAAATGTGGGAAACTCTCTGGTCTGAGATCAGTTGTGCTGCCCAAGAACACGCTGACTCCAGAGGTGTCCAAGCGGGGCAGAGCCGGCGACTCCGGTCCGTGCGGCGGCGGGGGGGAGGCAGCGGCTCTGCTTGATCCCATGGAGTTCTGGGGAGGCACAGTGGGCCCTTGGTTCCATGAGGCTCTGAAATGTCTCAAGGTTCCTTTGGTTCCATGAGGCCCCGCATGTCCCTTGGTTCCACAAGATTCCACAGTTTCCCTGTGTTCTTTTGGATCCATAAGGCCCTGTAGTGTCACAACTGCCCCTTGATTCCATGAAGTTCCACAGTGTCCATGGATTCCTTTTGTTCCATGAGGATCCCCAGTGTCACAATGGGCTCTTGATTCCACGAAGTTCCACAGTGTCTGTGGATTCCTTTTGTTCCATGAGGTTCCCCTGTGTCACAATGGCCTCTTGATTCCATGAAATTCCACTGTGGCCCAGGGTTTCTTTGTTTCCAAGAGGCCCTGCGGTGCCACAATGGCCTCCTGATTCCATGGGTTTCTGCAGTGTCACAGTGGCCCCTTTATTTCATCAAGTTGCCCACTGTCCCTGGGTTCCTTTGGCTCCATGGGGCCCTGCAGTGTCCCAGTGGCCTCTTCATTCCATACCTTTCCCCAGGGTCACAATGGCCCTGTAATTCCATGAGGTTCTGCAGTTCCACAGTGGCTCCTTGACTCCAGGAGGTTGCAGAGCATCATCACACAGCTGAGCCCATCCTGATGGAAGTTCTGAGGAGGTTGGGAGGAACTGGGACAAAAGGGATAAAATAATTGGGGAAGGAAAGAGGGGCTTGGCCAACAGAGAGGAAAGATTTTGATAAGGTAAAACCAGGTTCAAGGAATGCTGAGGGTGCTGAAACACTGACTGTGCAAACACTCCTGATGGACCTTTATGTACTTTGAAACCTGAAGCCCCCACACTACCCAAAAGTGGTGCCCCTCCCATTGAAAGGAATCCACTGCCCTAATTCCAAGACAGAAGAAGCCCAAACCCAGAACTCCAGACTCTTATTTGTCCTCTAGTGCCCACCCCAATCCCAAACCTGTATTACCACTATGAAAAGCCAAGCTTTAATCCTAACCCAGCCCAAAAAGCTCTTCCCCTAATCATGAACCAGACACTGCCAGCAGAACAACAAACCTCCCAAAGTTCTGCCTAATCCCCACCCTGAGCTCTAAACCCCAAGCCCTGACCATTCAGCACCCCCACAGTCCTTGGGAGCAGGGCAAGGACCTGGAGGGCCCAGAGCAGGCCCAGGGGGTTGGCAGAGGAATGGGAGGTGACCTGGATCTGCTCAGCTCTGCAGTGACCCCCAGGAGAAGGGCCTGGGCTCTGGCAGGGATGTCCTGTGGCACAGGGGCTCAGGATCCAAGGTAAGAAGGCCAAGTGCCCATGGCAACAGGCAGAGCTGGTGCAGAGCCATCAGGGAGGGTCTAGAAATGCTGCTGGGAGGGGGTGGGAAAGCAGGAGGGGTGTGTGCAGCCTGCAAGGCCAGAGCAGCAGCAGGGCCAGGGCAGGACAGCCTGCAGGAGAGATGGCCAAGGGCTCTGGCAGGGCTGCAAGGCCCAAAGGCACCCAGGCCTTTGTCCCCTTGCCTCTGGCAGCTGCCTCTGCCACTCAGGCCACCACAAGCCACTTTCCTGGCAGGTTCTGCACTTGGGTTCTGCCTCGCCCCTCCCTCAGCAGCCTGGCAGGGGTTGCCCAGTTTTGGGCCTTGGTTGTTCCTCCCCCTCCCATCCCAGTGCCCCCCAAACAGCCCTGAGCCAGCCGGGAGGGACAGGATCTGCTGGGCCAGGGCCTGGGGCTCAGCCCTTGGCCTTTGTGCTCCACAAAACCAAGGCAGGCTTTGCTCAGCATTGCAGGGGCCTGCCCAGAGCCTTTGTCTGCCTGCACTCCTGGCCTCCAAGGAGCGGCTCCAAGGAGTCCCTGGGGAGGCTTTGGCAGTGCCTGCCCTCAGTGGGGCCCAGCAATGCTTCAAGGCACTTGGACTTTGGCTTCTGACTTCTTCAGCAGCTGCTTCAATCTTCTCTCAGCACCTCAGGACCATGGGCTGGGCTGCAAACACACCGTGGGGCTCATTAAAATGCAGAAATCCCTCAGGATCTCTTTGTCTTCCTTTAATTGTCTTCAAGGCAATTTCAAAACAAGTCTTCAAAATTTGTACTTTTTTTCTTTTAATTCAAAAATGGATATTTTTTAGTTTAGAGGAGAGGTGATAGAGGTGTTCTCCAAGTGATCTTGATGCTGAGTGTCTCCTCAGGAGATCCACACTGACCCTGGATGATCAACCTTGCTCCTCACCCCCCAGACTCACCAGTTCTGACATGGCCCATCTTGGACTGACAGCTGATGCAGCTCCAAACACACTGTGGGACCCATTAAAACACTGAAAAACAAATTATTTTAAAATACTGAAAAACAAATTATTTCCCTATTCTTTGATTGTCTTCAAGTCTTAATGTCTTCTACAGCTAATTAGAGTTGTTTTGTAGTTTAGCTTAGGAGGAAGATTTTAAAGTGGAAGTCACAAAATATATATATTTTTTTGATGAAAGGGAATTATTTACACAATGCCTTGGGATGCAAGAGGAACGGGGCACTCTTATAAGTAATCAGAGAGTAAAATTTGCAGATCAAATAAAGTTGGGTTAAGGATGTTATAATGTTATATTTAATGCTTTGTCGAGTCACAAGTCTAAAGGTTGTGTAATGGTTAACCGCAAGTTCTGTTAAGCTGCAGCCTAACAAAACCATGACACAGTGATGAATGGTCATGTTATCCCTTGCTATTCTAAAAAGTGCTTGTTTAAGTATATTTATAAGGAGCAGAGCGGATAAAACAAAAGGAGAGGGTCGACCACGAGGGTCGAATTAAGAAACCGTTACCTACAGTGGAAAATTCCAGCATCACGGTCCATAGAGACTATGGACAATTGAACTATTGGCTGATACCCCTCAGCAACAGGACAAGCCTGTGAAAAGAGGACCCAAATAGAGACCAGCCCGCGAAAGGGGAACCAAGCAGGACTTAGCCCGCGAAACAAGGACCAATGGAGGGATGACACGATACCAGGGGGAGGTGGTTGCAAAAGGGTATAAAAGATGATGTCTTGCTGTTCCCTTTGCGGACCGTGGCAGGAACAAGGGGTTTCCTCCGGTCGCCTGGTTAGCCGTTTTGCTTATTTGCCTTTAATAAATTCTTTTATATTTTCAAATCCAAATTTCTCTAGTCTATTGTTTATAACAGCACAAAGGATTTGTATCCAAAGAAGAGGGGGCAAAAGATGTTAGTAGCACTTAATCATTGACCAAGTGAACAGTTATCAAGTGGTTCAACAGCATTTGCCACAATTTTAACAGTGACTGAATTAGAGATTCACAACAACAACATTCCCACCACAGTCAATTCACACCCACACCCAGGCAGAGATGTGTGCACACATCAATAGTTGGCTGTGGAAAGGTCCCTCTCCCAGATTCTCCTTGTTGTCAGGGAAACACTGCCACCAATCCCTTTGTGTTTGCCACCAGACAAGGGGCCCAGCTGGAGGAGTGTTTGTGGAGGGGGATCAGAATTGTCCTGGGCATCAGCGCCGCTCTTTGGAGTGTTGCAAACTGGAGGGTTCCCGAGCTGGGAGAGGCTGCCAGAGGTGTCCCACTGAGAGGGAGGTGCTGGGGAGCTGCCAGGGCCTCCCTCAGCCCCGCTGGGTGTGGGCTCACAAGGGGACTGGCTTTAGTTATCTGCTGAATTTCCATCCTGGTGTCAGGAATGACTGGAGTTTCCAAACGATTTGGGAATTGTATCCAAACTGTTCCATTTCGGTTACAATTCAGGCCAGGAATGTTCCAAGGCTTTCATGGGATGACTGATTATCCTGTGTTCCCCAATTGTTACACTTGGGTTGTTCCCACCTGTATCATCCAGGAGTACCTGGTCCAGTCCAGTCCAGGGACACTTCCCCACACCCATCGTCCAGTCTGGACTATGAGACCCAGGTTTGAGCTACAAGCTCATGCAAGGGTTTTTACTTTGAAAAATATAAAAGGCACCAAAAATTTCTTCCCTCTACATATTTGAAAAAGGCCTTCAGTTCTTTTAATCCTTTGAAAGAGACCACAACGGAGAGGACACTGCACACCTCTCAGGTGGTGAAATAACACATTTTTACAAGGAAACTTCAGAAAATAAGGGAGCTTGGTAAAAGTTTAAATGGCAACATTCAACTAGAACAGAGCATTCCCCAAAGCACTGACTGATCACACGCCAAGCCATCCCAGTCAGCTGGATGGTTTATTGACAATGTGTTCCCAGGGGCGGCACCTCCGATGCCACAGAAACCCCTCCCCCTGGATTAGGAAACCTTTGGAATTCAGGAGGTGTTCCAGCGGAGCACGAAAATGAACAGCAACTTTCCTAAAGCCCAGACCCCAGCAGAACAAAGGCAGGCCCCATCAGTGTCAGAGCAAAGGTCCCCCATCCCTGTGTCCCTGTGGCCGCTGAGGCGGCAGCGCAGGCCCGAGGCGGTGCCGGGTCCCGGGGCAGAGCGGCGGCTGCGCGAGCGGCAACCCCGGCGGTGAGTGCGGCAGCCCCGTGGGAGCGGCGGCTCCGGGCACAGACGCCGGCGGCAGCCGCTGTGGCGGCGGAGCAGCGACTCCGAGGCGCTGCAGGAGCGCCGGCTCCGCTCGCGGGCGCCGGCAGTGTTGGGAAGCCGGTCCCGGGCGGCTGCGGGGCAGCGCGGGCCAAAAGCGGCAGCGGCGGCGGCCTCGTGGCAGCGGCGGCTCCGGGCAGACACGGCCCCGCTCCAGCGCTGCCGCCTCAGCGGCGCTCAGGGGACGGCGCGGCGGCTCCGGGGGCAGGGCCGGGGACTCCCTCTCGGGGCAGCCCCGGGCACCAAAGAGGACCAGGGCCCGCCGTGTTCTCAGCTCGCTTCTCTGCAGTTCTCACGGCATCGGAGCACAGCAGGGGATGGGGAAACTGAGCTCAACCACAACAGGAGCTCCTGGAACCGAGTGGCCATTGGGACACTGCAGGGCCTCCTGGAATCAAGGTGGGACACTGGGGAGCCTCTTGGAGCCAAGGGAACCCTGGGATGTTTTGGAACATGGTGGAATCAAGGAGCCATTGTGACACTGCGAGGCCTTGAGGAACCAAAGGATCCAAGAGACACTCTGGAACCTCAAGGAATCCTTGTGCCACTGTGACACTGCAGGGCCTCATGGAACCAAAAGAACTCTGAGAGTTTTTGGAACCTCATGGAATCAAGGGGCTGTTTCTGCAGGATGCTTTGTTCAGATAATACCCAAACAATGGTCAGAGAATGCAAACAATTCAGGCTCTCTGTGGTGAGTTCCTACTGGTGTCAAGGTGCTGTTTTTAATGTTGAATTATGCTAAACCAAAAATGCTTCATGAAACTTCAAACACACATCCTGCTTTCTGAAGCAGGATTTCACAGAGAAGCTGCTCCCTGGCCTGCAAATATGTCTGGCACTCAAACCCTTGATAACTATAAAAGCCCCGTCGAACTTTCTATGGCCGGCAGGAGTTCTGGAACACACGCAGATGATCAATATGATCAGGCAATGTTCAATTTATTATTTAAATGAGTTAACTTTTATACAGTTTAGTTTTTTCTGGGTACGTGCTTACAACAAGGTGATTGGATAGCTCAGTCTGTGCACGCGTCTCATGCCTTCAGTTCATTGGTTCTGGTGCTCTGTCCACGTGGCCTGACATCATATGTGCCACTCAAAGTCCCTCCTATCAATCCACCTTCAGGGACTTTCCAAGATTTTGCAGGTGTCTCTTTATCTCCAGTTTTCCCAAAACTTACAACTATAAACACAGGATTTTCTCATACCTACAACTACAAACATATAGCTAACAAGTATAAACACTGCGTAGTTTCACAGTTTGTAAGTATAAACACAGAGCTTTCACACAGTTTGCAACCTCCAAAGTCATGTCAAGCAAGGCCTAGTGCTTCTTAAAATATGGATTGTTCAAAATGTGTCCATTTTCCTGCCACAACTTTCCTGTGACAGATTCTTCCCCAGACTTCCTTGAAGTGTGTGGAGCTTCTGCCATGAAGCAGGGACAGCTCTTCATGGTCACTGCCCAGGGGTTCATGGTCAGCTCTTCAGGGTCACTGAAAGAGAGAGAACTACCCCCTGTCCTTGTGGGGTGAGTTACCTCAATCTCTGCTTCAAGATTGTTTCTTTTTGATGGCTTTGAGATAATTGCTTTAATAGAATGACTTTGATAGACTGCACTGTCCTATCTTACACTATACTGCTAGGAGTTTTTGGCTTTTATACTGCGCAGGAAATAATTCTGATTGAGGTCCTTCATCTGTTCTCTTGTCTGATCAATTTTCTGATCATTTGTAATAATAAATAATTCATTTTATAGAAATATTTCTGATTTGCCATCACTAAAACCTGCAGGATAAAGTGATTGAATCACACCTCTATAATTCCTTCAGTTTAAACCAAACTCTGAGTCTGGATCCAGCCACCCCCAGGCTCCTCTCTGAGAAGGAATTTGGAAAGCAAGGGGGTCCTTTCTGCACCTCGTAGCTCAACGAGACGGCTTCTGCCATCAACTTTGTCTAAGCCTTCCACCCCCCCAGCCCCAAGCCGTGACACAGGGGCATGTCTTGTCCATGCAGGGCAAACATGGACTCCTGAGCTGGTCATCTGATGTCCCTCCTTGGAGGGAAGAACAAGCCCAATGGCCTGGGGTGAGAGGCCAGTGCTGGGAGCCTCTGGGCAAGGCTTGAAAGGAAAACACTGAATTGAAAATGGTGTTTATATCTATATAAATATATATAGATATTTATACACATATATATATATATAAAGATTTTTTAGTGTGAACAAATTCTCACAAAAATAACACTCCTAGCAAGAGCAAAAAATCGAGAAGCTATGGTGGGCCTTTAATGAAGTGTATAACAGGATTGGTCCTTAATGAGGTCCATAACATGCAGAAGAAAGAGAGTTTATTGTTTCTGAAAAACACCCAGTTATCAGTTTCCTCAGGGCATCCTTGAGCTCCTGGTTCCTGAGGCTGTAGATGAGGGGGTTCAGTGCTGGAGGCACCACTGAGTACAGAACTGACAGGGCCAGATCCAGGGATGGGGAGGAGATGGAGGGGGGCTTGAGGTTGGAAAACATGATAGTGCTGAGGAACAGGGAGACCACGGCCAGGTGAGGGAGGCAGGTGGAAAAGGCTTTGTGCCGTCCCTGCTCAGACGAGATCCTCAGCACAGCCCTGAAGATCTGCACATAGGAGAAAACAAGGAAAACAAAACAACCAAATGCTACACAGCAAATAACCACAATAAGCCCAATTTCCCTGAGGTAGCCTGAGTGTGAGCAGGAGAGCTTGAGGATGTGTGGGATTTCACAGAAGAACTGGCCCAGGGCATTGCCCTGGCACAGGGGCAGGGAAAATGTATTGGCTGTGTGCAGCAGAGAATAGAGAAAGCCAGTGGCCCAGGCAGCTGCTGCCATGTGGGCACAAGCTCTGCTGCCCAGGAGGGTCCCGTAGTGCAGGGGTTTGCAGATGGCAACGTAGCGGTCGTAGCACATGATGGTGAGGAGGAAATACTCTGCTGAGATGAAGAACAGAAAGAAAAAGGCCTGTGCAGCACATCCCGTGTAGGAGATGGTTGTGGTGTTCCAGAGGGAATTGTGCATGGCTTTGGGGACAGTGGTGCAGATGCAGCCCAGGTCTGTGAGGGAGAGGTTGAGCAGGAAGAAGCCCATGGGGGTGTGCAGGTGGTGGTCGCAGGCTACGGCGCTGAGGATGAGGCCGTTGGCCAGGAGGGCAGCCAGGGAGATGGCCAGGAAGAGCCAGAAGTGCAGGAGCTGCAGCTCCCGCCTGTCTGCCAATGCCAGGAGGAGGAACTGGGCCATGGAGCTGCTGTTGGACATTTGTTGTTTCTTAGCACAGGGTCTGTTCAGGAAAGGAAAGGACAGGGAACAGTTAAGACAGACCTCTGTGAAAAAGCCACTCCATTTCTAAGAGAAATTGATGTGTCAAATGTCACCAAATGCACTGCCAAGGAGTCAGTTTTACTCTGCTGCAGTGGGACATAGAATTTTTTTGGTAGAGCTGTCAAACACACAAGGAATGTCAGATGTAACAAACGTTGAATACAAAAGTGCCATCTCTACACTCAAAAGAGCTGGGCCTGCAGAGCAGAAGCTTAGTCTGAGCTTAGAATACTTTTGCCTGTGTTTTCTATTTTTACCATCACATCTGGAGAAAGTTCTTTTCCACTGCAGGAATCCTCATTTCTATGGCCCAGCACACAGTGCCCAGCAGAGCTGCAGGGAAGGGCCCCCAGAGCTGCCTGAACGCCCCCTCCCCCAGGCCTTGGGGGCTCTTGCCCCCCACTCCCTGCCCAGGGCTTTGCTGCCTGGAGCTGTCCCTGCCAGCAGCTGCTTCCGTGGGCCCAGGGCTGAGAAAGTGACAGTGATGTATCTATAAGACAGTTTTGATGTCTGATACTCTCAGGTTCCATCCCCTCTAATCTAACAGAGTTCAAGTTGCAGTGTCTCCTCCTGTGCTCAGAGATTGATTTCCCTGTTGCAGTCAGCACCCAGACAAACCAGAGTATAACACTGAAAGAACTGGTTCATTCTCTTTAAGGTACCCCCTGTCTGTCTGTGCCTCTTGCAAATACCTTCTGGGAAATTTCCTGCTTTGATCTGGAGCTGTGACCAGCCCTCATCCCTGCAGCCCACTGTGGAGATCAGAAGGACTCTGCCCTGCTCTGCCCTCCCAGGAGTTGTTCCTTCCCCACAGCCCTTCTCCCCCAGCCCCGTGGCAGCTCCTTGGCCGGGCTGAGAGCTGCCCCTGGCAGGCAGCAGAGTCCCTGCCCCAGCACACAGAGCCCTGGGGGCAGGACCCTGCTCTGCCCCACAGCCCTGGGCACCCCTGGCTGCACCCCCACCTTCCCACCCCACAGCCAGCCCTGGCACAGGGAACCTTCTGGCCCTGGGCCTCTGAGGGGGCAGCAGCAAGTCCTGCTCTGCAGCAGCTTCTCCTGCTGCACCCCAGCAAATCCAGCAGAGCCATCCTGACAGCTCCTGCCACTGCTGCCATTTGGCAGCTGGCAGAGGCACTTGCAGGAACTCCCCTGCACTGCTCTGCAGCCACAGCCTGACCGTGGCAAAGGGCTGGCAAGGTTCCTGCCCTGAGCAGCTCTGCCCTGTCCTCCCAGCCCAGGATCCCTTGAACCTCCTGCTCCCTTCTCCTCTCTGCCCTTGCTGCCTGCAGCTCCTGCCCTGCTCTGCCATATGGCCACTTCCCCTGCACTGCAGCAACTGGGAGAGTCCTGCTGAAAGATCCTGGAAGCTGTGGGATGTGCCAGCTTGAGGAGATGCCTCCAGGAAGGGAAGCTGAACTTTCCTACAGCCAGAGAATTCTTCCTTCAAATCCTGGGAAGGTTTCTCCTGTGGTGAGAGCTCAGTCACTTCCCAGCCCAGGCTGCCTCTCATCTCTCTGCCTTCTCTCCTGTGCCCTGGGTGCTGCAGGCAGTGCCCTCAGCCCTGCTGGGCTGTGCAGAAAAGTTGCTCACCAGCAGAGCTGTCTCTTTGAAGCTCTTCTTGCTTGCCAGGAGCTCCCTGTGTGCCAGGAGCCCGGCCCAGCTCAGCAGCACAGCAACAGCCCCAGGCAGCCCTTTCTCTGCCCCTCTGGGCTCCCTCCAGCTGTCCCTGGGGCTCCAGGGGAACCTGCTGGCACACAGCTGAAGGAAATAATGATGTTCCTTCTCTCAGCTGGGCACAGACACTTCTTTCAGCACTGTCATTTCTCCAAACAGACACAGAGTTAAGTTCAAGAGGCCCCTTTTCATGTCCCATCATTAGACAGGAAACCCAGACAGTGCCCAGGAGGGATCTCCTTCACCTGCCCTGAGGGAAGGGACTCAGCTGAGTCAACAGAGGTGTCTCCTTGTGGCTCTGCAGACCTGGGGCCAGAACCTGGCCCTTGGTGTCTCCTTGTGGCTCTGCAGCCCTGGGGCCACAACCCCCATGGGCTGGTCCAATTCCAGCTCAGTGGGCCCAAAACAGGCCCCTGCAGGCTCCAATGGAGCAGTTCCTAGGGACAGGGCAGCAGCTGTGGGATCTTCTTGGAGGCTGCTGGGACATTGCTTTGGCCAACTTCAGTGGCAGAAGGTGCCCACATGTAGGACAGGGGAACCTGTCACTGTTCCTTCTGTCCAGGGCAGCCCCTAGAGGTGCTCAGGTGACCAAATGCAGTCAGGTGGCACAGGGAGAGAGGTCTCTCTCCTGTTCTTTATCAGGGTATTTTCTACATGTGCTCAGAGTACAATGGCAGTTGTCTCCTGGACATCCCTTCACTGCTGAACCTAACTGAGGGCAGCTGAGCCTGGATTGAACAGCCAAAGAGGGGCCTGTAGTGCCAGGGGAGGTGCCAGGGCTCTGCAGCACAAGTGCAGCAGCTGCCCTGGACAGCACAGGGCCTGTGCAGGAAGCCCGTCCCCATTCCCAGCAGTTGTGGGACAGGCACCACCCAGGGCTCCTCAGACACACTGGGGGCCTTTGGGGCAAGGAGTGAATCCCAGCCCTGCAGGGACACAAAGGCTGTCCCTTCTCTGCCCAGCCAAGGCCGGGCCAGGCACGAGTCCAAATCCCATCAGCCCAGGCTGTCCACACTTGTTCCCTCCCTCTGCTGGCTCTGCTCTCCCCCAGCATTTCAGCAGCATGTGCTGATCTCCTCAGGGATCAGGCCTGGGATTTTCCCCCTGGGCCTGAGTCCCAGCACGTCCACCCCCAAGGCCATTGTCAGCAAAGCCTCTGCCCAGCCCAGCTCTCGGGGCTTTCAGAGCAGCTTTCCCCACTGCAAGTCTGTTCTTACCCCGGTGCCCCCGCTGAGGGGCTGCAGCCAGACAGGCCCCAATGCCCTGCGTGTGGGGCACAGGAGGAGGAGCTGCAGCCCCAAGTCTCTCTTCCTTCCACTTGGAGGGAATAACAGCCCAGGCCTGCTGAGACAGTTCCCAGGTTGCAGGGCTGTGATGGGCTGGGAGAGAAGGCCAAGGAGACACAGGAGAGAAAGAGCAGGAGAGAGGTGTCCTCAGCAGGAAGGAGCTTCTTGGAGCTGTGGAGCTGCTCTGGGGGATGAAGGAATTGGGTGAACTTTTGTGGGTGAGGGTCAGAGGAGAGACTAGTTTGGGTGACCTTGTGGAGTGAGACAAAGATCCCATTCCAGTTGGCTTTGATAACCCTGGAATTCACTGGAAAGGCACCAGGACAGGATGCAAAGAGTCCCAGAGGTTTGTGCAGGGTCTTGTTCAAGACCCCCCTTGGCACACAGGCCTTTAGAGCACAGCTGGCAGGTTGGTGGACAACAGGGAGGCTCATCTGCATCTGCTTCTGTCC